ACACTGTATTGTATGCATCCTACAGAGAAGACAGAAACTATCTACTTAAAATTGGGTTAGGACCTGGCTCTGGAACCGCCCACCCGGGAAGGCAGTGCAGGGGTTGGTTACAGGGTGAGGCTCTCTGAAGGGCCAAGTGGGATCACATGCTGGTCCCAAGCTGGCTGTGATGGTTGACTGGGGTTTTCACTGTGGCTGTGTGGTAGGTTGACATGAAGTTTCCACCCAAGGTGAGGCCTGGGGAACCCCGGGCTTCCTACCAGCTTCCAGAGGGCAGGGAAGAAAGGGAGGGAGAAAGGTGGCTCAAAGCTGGGACAGTCAGACATCAACATGGAGTTGACAGACAGAACTGAAATTAAAACTTACTAAGGTAATTCAGTAAAATCCCCAGATATGGAACCTATGCACAAAATTCATTTTGTATTTTTCTCTGAGTGTGTGTATGTGCATGCACAAGTGTATTTTTATGATTTGATGTGTACACACAAGTGTGTGTGTGTGTGTGTGTGCACATGAGTGTGTGCATATGGAGCTGAATGTTGACTTCCCTCCTCCATAGCTCACAGCCTTATTGCCCTAAGACAGGGTCTCTCACTGAATGTGGAATCTCATGTAGGTTTCATGTCCATCAAGCTCTCAGGACTGCCTGTCTCTGCTCCTCACCATTCTTCTCTGCTCCCCACCATTCTATGTTTCTATAAATTACCAGCAACCAGCAGAAACTGGTTTTACCAAAAGTAATAAAAATGAAAGATACAAGGCACCCACCCAAAATACAAACTACCTACAAAGATATAAATATGTACATACATAAGTATATAAACATTATGTATGACAATACAAATGTATAATATATAGCCATTTCAGAGAGAAAAGTTACAGAATTTAATTCAGGTGAAACATTTTGAGTGCACACCAAGAACAAAACCACATAGTGTTAAAATAGTCACAAGGCACTTCAAAGACAACCAAAACAGGGACTGAGAGACAGAGCCCATGTGAAAGCCAGGCAGGTGTGTAAGCACCTGTAATCCCAGCACCAGGAAGGCAGAGACAGGGGGTCTCCAGGACAAGATGACTAGAGAGACTACTTGAATAAATGAGCCCACAGTTCAAATGAGAGACCTGACTCCATAGATTAGGTGGGCAATGATTGATAAAGACATTTGACACACACATGTACAAGCCCACATGCAAGAATATACATATATATATATTATATATATGTTATATACATGATATATATATATCAGAAATATGTATATACATACATACATATACACACACATACACAATAAACTGGCCTAAATAAATATAAGAAAATGAAATGTATGGGCATAATGATAACTCATTAAGAGTCAGTTTAATACTATGTCCATTTAGTTGAATAGTAGTGACAGATTCTCCACTAGGGTCTATGATCCATCTAATCACAGGTTCTTGGCCCACCTGGGTATGGGTTTCATCTTATGGAGAGGGACTTAAATCCAAAAGTCCAGAAAGTGGTTGGTTACTCCCATGATGTCTGTGCCATTACTGCACCAGTGTGCATGCCTTGCCAGACCAGTTTGTAGTTGGCATGGGTATGAAGTTCCACCCCTTAGCTGAGGAACTATTTGCAATTGAAAGCTGCTAGGAGAGGGAAAGTCAGTTTTTGAAGACTGTCACTCCTGATAAGTCTACTATACACCAGCGAAAGGCTACACACCCAAGAATATATGGGCAGCACAAATTTAACTTTAAAAAAAAACCATAAGGTTAGGTGAGTAGGGAAGAGGGTGAATCTGGGAGGATTTGGGGAGGGTGGCTGAAAATGATCAAAATGCATTGTATTAAATTCTCAAAGAACTAATAAAAATATACTTAAAGAAAGAAAATGAAATGGCCAAGCAAACAAAACCTATCAAAGAAACCAAGAGCTGAGAAGTAGGGCCCTGGGGATGTATCTATCAAAGGGAGTTGTCTCCAGGGGCGGAGATGACAGAGGATACGTCAGGAGGGGCAGCTGGCTCAGTTCAACCCTGTTCTACCCCTTGGTGGGAGGAGTATGTGAATATTCGTGTTACAGCTGATCTTTTCATTATTCATTCCTCTTGCCATCTGCTCTCTTGTGGGTGTACTGCAATTCATAGACCTGGAGACTGTATAATAATACAGTAACACAGTTCTGAAGGAAGCAACGAGGAAACATGACACAGAGAGCCAAATGAATGCTGTGGATGGCCAAGGAGCTTTCTCCAAAGTGCAGGAGATGGGAGGGAAGGGAGGAGGGAGAAGATGCTGGGCATTGCAGATGAAATGCCATTGCAGCTAAGCAGGTCAAGTGGGCATGGGAGGGGAGTTTGGCAAAGAATAAAAGAAAGGGAAAGGCAAGCTGGGTGCCCTTTTTATCTGCGTTGTCTCTTTGGGGACTGTGTACACCATTGTACTCGTCACTTTCCACATTGTGTGACAAGATGCCTCACACAGATAACACAAGGATGGAAGAAGGATTTCTTTTGGTTCAAGGGTGTGGTCCAGCAAGATGGGGATTTCTCACAGGAGCCAGAGGCAGCTGGTCACATCCTATCCACAACCAGGAAAGAGCCAGTTGAATGCTGGTACTCAGCTTGCATTCTTCTCATTCAGCCATGCCTTAGTGGAATCCACATTTGGGGTGACTCTTCCTGGCTCTGTTAATCTCTCTGGAAACATCAGCTAGGCGATTCTAAGCCCTGTCAAGGTGACAATGCTTAAGTGTCACGGTGTCCTCATGGTTTTGGAAGTAAGCATTTTACATTTAACAAAGTAGTCTTCCATGCACCAAGGTAGCTAGAAAGTGTTCTTCTAAGCACTATTGTTAAAAACTCAGGAACTTATTTTAATATTTAATTTATTCCATCAGACTGACCAGATAAACACAGTGAAGATCTCAAGGAGGAGCAGCTTTCAGGAATGTAGTCCTCTGACAACAAACTCAAGAGGCTAAACTGGGTAATACTGCCCCTCTCTACCTGCTCCTCCCATCACCAGCTCCCCACCTGCTCCTCCATCACCAGCTGTAATACTGCCCCCTCCACCTGCTCCTCCATCACCAGCTGTAATACTGCCCCCTCCACCTGCTCCTCCATCACCAGCTGTAATACTGCCCCCTTCACCTGCTACTCCATCACCAGCTGTAATATTGCCCCCTCCACCTGCTACTCCATCACCAGCTGTAATACTGCCCCTCCACCTGCTCCCCCATCACCAGCTGTAATATTGCCCCTCTCCTCCTGCTCCCCCATCACCAGCTGTAATATTGCCCCTCTCC